TGTAAATTTACATAATATATTGTAAATTTACATAATATATATTGTAAATTAGAAATTTATATATTCTTCTATAGAATTTTCTATGTAGAAATTTATTAATTAAAAAATCTTATTATCGCTCGATTTAGACCGTTTTTACTTTATACTTAGCATTGCAAAAAACGAGCGAAATCAAATTTTAAAAAATTATATACTATACATGTATATATAAATTTAGGTAGATACAACAGATTTGAAAATATTTCTGTTCTGTGAAAATAATTATAATTATAGAGGAAATTCAAGCATGATGAGCAATGCTATAAAAAGTTTAGTTTCGGCAACCAGTTGAACGTCCTACATAATTATTTTAATATTTCACCAAAATTATTTTCAGATCTGTATCTAGCTAAATTTTTTTTAATTATATCGGCAAAATCGTTCTTTCTATTTACACGAATTATTTATCTATATATTAACTTTTTGACAAATGCGTCAAGTATCGTATGTCATTAATAAAGTATCTTTACTGTAAGAGTATGTTATAATAAATATATAATAGCTTCGTTAAGCAAGACAGCACCGTAGAGATACACAATTGCTACAATGCACAACTTTACGGAGAAGAGAGATCTTATTCGATTACGACGTCGCTTTCGATTTTCGAGAGTGTCTCTGACTATAGCAGTCACTTAATACGACATCGGACCTGAAATCGCACCGTGCGGGTCATTCGAGGGACGTTCATGGAATGAAGTACATGTCCAGCCAAGGACCTGACCCAATTGCGTCTCATCGAGAACGTACACGTACATCGCGACGACCGTGGCTCGGCATTCGGGATTAGGAGCACCTTACATCTTCCGGTTTTCGGACTGGAACACGAGACACCCGAGTGGCCCGCGCTTTGTTCCATTTCTCGAAATTCACGTTCTATTATCAAGCTTCTATGAGTGCTCGAGAAGGACCCCGGAAGGTCCGACTGTATGGGACAGCGGTAAGATAGACGATTTGCGTACGTGAGACAGCATTTGTTGAGAAGAGAACAACACATAAACGTAACTTATGCAAAGCATAAATATCTGTAAAATGCAATAACTGCTGCAGACAGATATTTAATTTAATAAAAAAATCTAATTTAGATTAATTTATAAAATAGAATATAAATCTGTCACTTTTCTAAAACTGTAATTTGGTGCTTTCTAAAAATGAATCAGTGTATTATTACAGATTTCAATGCTACTCTTATAAGTTATAACTGACGTAATCATCAGCGCATATTTATTATGTACGTTTTTCAGTAATAATACACTGATTCACTTCTAGAAAATGTATACAGGGTATCTCCCAAGTTTTGATGGTTAAATTATGCGCCAATATAATCTATTGATAAAAATAACAAAAAATGTTATATGAATATACTTCATAGAAATTTTATTAAAAAATTATAATAAAAAATGAAATCTGTCTTAAATGAAAGAAATATAATAAATGTTATTAATCATTCAACTGCAATCTGGACTTTTGGCGCAAACAAAATTTCATTTGAAATTTTTTTCTCATATTTCAATTTTTATTAACTAAAAGTTTTAATATAGAGTTAAACATTATTTTATAGTAAATAGAGATGTTAAAAAGTTTTCACATTTTTTGAAAGTTTAGAACAATATAAAAAAATTTTGATAAAAAGACTCAGATTGCAGACGGAGGGAGTAAAAATATGATTACAGACAGAAAGTTAATGCTTGTCGGGATAATTTATTCTCTTGTCCTGATTATCAGTTTTATGGAATACATACATGTTGTACAGGAGATTAATTATTATCTTCATAAAGAATTTTATGTACCTCTACTAATGAAACAACGTTCATAAGAGGAAATATTTTTAGTTTTCCTAATAATATTTCAAAGAATACGAGTGATTGTCCGGCGAAATTTTTTGGTTTCTGAGATCGCCAGATGTCGTCACTAAACTTTTTATATATTTTTTATTATAATTTTTTAATAAAGCTTGTAAAAATTTATATTTATACAATACATAATATTTTTTTAATTTTTTCCATGGAATACTTTGGCGCATTCTATGTATTGACACTTTAGCCATTAAAACATTGTATAATAATATAATTCTTCATAATCAGTAATCAACAATTTGTTTTTTGAAGGATGTGATAAACGTGATACGGAACAACACAAGGAACCTGTTATGGCGTCCTACATAGTGCGGCTCGGAAAGTTACATTAATTATAACTTAACGAGCATGAACTACACACGTATTACACGACCGTGCATGTAACATGTGTCGTTTGTCATATTTCCACCAACTCCGGTCCGGTGTGGTATTAATTCAGCGTCATGCGTTACGTAAACTATGAAAACCAGCTATTTCAATCTCATTCGTAAATGTTGAATTCTCGCGAAAGAGTGTGCACAATTTAGCAAACAAAATTTTACGACAAAATACTTATTTAAATATATTATCACTCTATAATTATCTGCACAAACATAGAGCTCTCAAGTATACACTTTTAATTACAAATTCAACATATAAATATCTTTTTTTTCGCGCACTGTCACTATCGATCTGCCATAGTTCTATTTTCAATAACAGGAAAACAGTTTTCAGCACAATATGAAACTCGAAGCTCATCTGGCTAGATGGTTGTTTGAATATCTTCAGTTCACTGTTCTTCAGACTTTCACGTGATATTTCTCGCCTCGACTCTTAGGGAGCGTCGCAAATGGCCCGCAAAATTTCCCGAGGATTCCGCTCAGAAGTAATACTAAAATTTCGCAGGATTTTCTACGATAAAGCCGATCAAGCACCAATATTTTTCCGTGTAGAAGGATTTGCGCGGTACGGTTCGTATGGGCGGCGCTGTTTCTTCCGGTCGTTGCAGTTTCTCAGAGCGCAATGCACGGAAAACGAAAGAAACGTGAACGATCTGAGCCGCACAGGCAAGAGTAACGGTATTTTTCGCTCTCAGCTTACCAGCCGTTTCCTCGCTAACAAGTGGACTTAAAGTGTGGGCTCCTGCATTTTTTATATGCGTTTAACGCAGCGCTTTTAGCTCCTAACGGATGGTGGTCGTTTAGTACAGTCTTATTGTTTGAAAGTGTAATATGAGAATTATGCAGATTTATATTTTACACATTACAAGTAATGTAGGAGTTTAATCGCGCCCCAGACTTCTCTCAAAATACAAAAGGACCAAGAATATTTTTACGGAAAATTAATCTTGAACGTTTCCTTCATTTATAAGATGTACGTACATTACCAAGAATAAAACGCGAAATTATTATTTAATAAAATTTTTACTTCTGAGAGTAAAATAATGATTAAATTCAGTCTACGTTGTAAACTACATATATGTAAGTACTATATAGTAATTGATTTACAAAGTTATTTTTGAACAAGTTATTCTTAGACACGACGACAGAATTGACGTTGAAAATTTAACCGAAATGTACTTTCTCTCAAGAAAGACAGCAATAAGGGAAGTACGGACGTATATTTTTCGTTTATGCAACCACTCGCGCACTGTAAGCATACATTCACTTCGTGGGTATGTACGGTCGCGCGCGTTTTGCGTATTCCGGAACGGGAACAAAAGCTACTAGAATAAGCTCGTATGATGCTCGGCGCGTCGTAAGCCCTCCGACTTCGTCGTCGTGGCACACTGGAGCCCGAGAACGAGAGGGTTGGGGTTGAAGAGCCTTGTCGAAAAATTGTAAGAACTTTTCCAGGGCTTGTCGAAGGCCTTTCCCGCCCGCCACGAAGTTTGTCCGTGAACGTGGTCGGAGTGGACGAGCTCGTGTGTGGTGGGGTTTAGGGATGCCGGAGGGTTTCTGAAAACAGTAATTTTTCTCCCCAACCCTCCGTGTTCTCGTAGTTCCGCCGGCATTACTCGTGACTTCTCAGCTCCTCCTTCTACCCATAGTCGAGAGGGACTTGAGAGCCCAGCTATCGTCTCGTAAGAGCGGAAGTATGATAAATTGAAACGACCATCGACGAGAGCGATTTTCAATCATATCGGTCCGCGCTGTCCGCTCTTCAACTACTTACACAAACGAGAAAAGTAAAAATAAAGGTCTTACGAACAGTGGTTATTTTGCAATTGAAAAGTTGTAAATTATTGATTGATAGATGTTTAAAATATTTTAAAAGTCTCTCTTCATTTTCAATATATGCATATATAGACGATCTATCTGATATATAGTATAAGAAAAAAAAACATGAAACTCTGAAAAGTACTTTTTAAACAATATCCAATAAAACATCCAATAGATGTTAAGTTATTGTTTTAGCTCTTCAAAGCTTCACTACGAAAACAACATATTAGTTAATATCCAATTCGACTCGATTGCTTATAACTTTCATAAAAATGAGTATAATATAAAAGTTTTTTTTTCCATCAAAACGACAAACATCAGGAAACATACACTATAAAAAATAAAATGTTAATTTTAACTTAAAGACGTACCATATAATGGACTTTCTGAGATACCCAAAAATGTTAAAATTAACATTTTCGTATAGTTAATTTAATATTTTTGCATGTTTCAGTAAGTCCACTATACGTCTTTAAGTTAAAATTTTATTGTGTTACGCTGTAAACAATAAAATCGATATATATATATATATATATAGGTTTATACTATATTATACTAATAAAACGCTAAGTTAAACAATGTGTGTGTGTGTGTGTGTGTGTGTGTGTGTGTGTGTGTGAGAACAAAGTATTTAAAAAAAATTAGAAAAAAACAAGTATATCATACCGAAGAGATGTTTAAGAGTTTAAGTGTTCCCCAACATATATGCTTTATTATATATTCAAAATTACTTGGGCTCAACCGTGAGCAAGTTTAAAGATGCATGTGTCGGGTGGAAGCTGTACAGGCGCCGAGAATACTTTGCCATAAAGTTTACGGTCGCAGCTATAAAGGAGCCCAGGGGCGCAAAAGGCCGTTAAGCGATACGAGCGGACGGAAAGAAAGGCGTCACCGAAAAGCTACTTACGCGGTGCCGTTGTGTCGACCGATGGACACCAGTCGATATATCTGCAGCTCGACCCGCTGCCCAGTATCCGGCACGAATCTGTATGTACACCTCGAGGGCCCTTGAAGATACGGAGACTTTATTTGCCCGAAGCCACGATCCGATTTGCTGAACAGCTGCCTGCTGTCCAACGTTATGTTGCACACTGAAACGGAACAAAACGTCGCTTGTATAAAAATACGGACAATCGAATGGCGATACGGTCGCATTAACACTACGTAATCGTATCGGTAAACATCCTGTATTATTCTTCATTTCTTATAATTTATTAAAAAATACAAAAATATTACTTATAGAATATAATTATATTTCAAATAATAAGAATGAAAGGGACTAAAGAGAGTATATTTGCTGTTATTGGTGCGATCAAATATAAGATATATTGTAGTAAAAGAACAAAGAAAATTAATACAATACTAAACGTTTCGGCCTACATCCGGGCTTCTACCGAAGATGGAAATATAAGATAGAATCGCACAAATTTCAAAAAGGCTATGAGTGGATGGAACAGTGGTCACTATCACCGTCATCAATCAAAGCCACATGGTTGATAAGTCATGTGCAATTGAATAGATAAGAAATCTAAGTACAAGTGAAACACGCAATGTACAATATGTGATTGAAGACAGTAAAGAAAGAGAAAACTCACCCACACATCCATGGTATAGGTAATGAAAACGAATCCAAACATCACCTTAGCCCCTTTCATTCTTGTTATTTGAAATTTTCGAGAGTGTACTTTTTAATTGAATTGTTAATTATATTTCAGCCGTATTTTGATTTTAGAATATCGAATTTTCACAGTCTAACGTGAAACTCCTGATGATACGAGAAAGATGATAATAGAAAGGAGCAGAGAAAAATGAAGTGTGGCTAATAACGATTTTTCTTGTTCGTACAGTTTCATTGGCGCATCTCTGTGCAACCGTGCTGTTCGGGCGACGACAAGTCGCGACAGCTTGGCGCAATATTATGAGGCAATCTGCCATAGTGTGTAATTTGATTCTTAATTGCTTCCTGTAGGATGTTGTACAGGATGTTTCGTGATTATGATGCGAATACCGTCTTGTAGCATATTTCTTTTCAACATGAGACTATTAGTATTATTTTTTTATGATTTTCTTATATAAAGTGTCAAAAAACATAAATCTTAACAAAAATATTATAGATTTACTAAAAAATGTAAATCTTTTAATGACAATTTTAGATTTACTAAATGTTCTTTTATAGTGACATTAGTTCTTTATTATAAAAAAATTTAAGTTTCATTATATACGGTTATTTATAAATGTTAAGCTATCAAAAGCAATCAATTTTTGTATTTGCTAGAAAAAATTTTTAAGACAAATAAGTGAATACAACCATGTTCAATCCAAGGTGGAAATTTTATAATTTTTAATTCAAGTAAAAATTACGCGCCGATTATTCGTCGATCATAAAAAAGTTCTAAATTAAAGCTGAAGTATATATCATATAATAAATGGACAGATAAATTAATATTATTGATGCCAAGCGTCATTAAACATTTCTATATATATTTATATTTTAAACAAAATCTTATAAGCTTCCGCAAAGAAATAATTTATAAACCTTTTTAATTATAACTAAATACACCTACGGGGTCATAGAATATCCTGTTACGTTAAAAGAAATCTGAGAAGAGAAGAATTTGATGGATGGAACACGAGGGCAATATCGCTCCTCGTAATTAGCGCAAAGAAAGGTTAGATGGATGGAGGATAAGAACTTCGTCAAGAGTGATTAGTTATAAGAAAGAAAGATCGAATGGACGACACGCGGGAGTAATTTCTTCGATACCGATTTATTCCATCGTGCAAAGCGAGCCGCAAACGTTTGACGGGAATCACGTCTTCTCTTTCTTAGATATCTCGGTGTCTTTTAGCATTGCCAAGCGCTCATCCTCTTATAAACGTCCCCGTTCTCTTTTACTTCTCAGTTCGTTCTTTGAATCACACTTTCCCGTTTTCACCGCGCCGTCCTACAGCCGCTTCCAAAGGGACTCGCTCGCCGCGACGCTTTAATTTCCACTTATTCGCGCGACACGAGCGGCTGCAAACGAGAAGTAGCACGAGGCAAGTGGCTTAATGGCGTGAATCTTGTTTTTAGCGACGGCAAAGACTCAAAGGGATCGTCTGTCTTTTTGACACGACGTAATTATATTTCCTCGTAGGACCGAGAGAGCAAATACGTCAGTTAGTTGATCGTCGACGGACAGAAAAAGCGGCAAAAGCGACAACGAAAAAGAATTTCCGTTTACTGTTTACGAGATTAATAAGTTTTGCATTCGTACGTCATACTTTACATGCATGCAGATTAAAGCACGTCAGAAATGTATCTCTTAAAATATACAATGCGCCGTTTTAGCTACAATGTTTTTAATTATGTCTGTATCAAATATAGTTATACGAAGAAATTTTCACTCGCAGTAAATTGTTACAACAAACGTTACAATTTCAAAAAACTCAATCTGCTTGTATAAGTCAGGATTAACTTAGCAATACTTACTGTTTGCGCAATGCTGCTCCAGGCCGCATTGAGCGCATCTATCGGGTGAAGCTGCGCCACAGCTGCAACCACCCGATGGTACGCAACAAGCGCAATCGTTGCTGGATGCATTGAAAGTGCAGGCGCAGCCGGTGGTGCTTTGGGTCCAGAGATCAACTTGACCTGAAAAAATGTACGCCTGTATGAAGTAAACCATTTATGAGAACATTTTGGATTTATATCGCACATTTTAAGTAATATACGAGCATAGCATATCGGTTGATAAAATCGTATTTAAATATATGGCAAACAGTATTAGGATTGTATGAGAAAGAACAGTTTTGCTGAAGTATTCAAAAATTTAAATACAATAGAGAAAAATCTGAAAATAGTTGTATTGGATTATCAAAATAATTATGTACCCTCTAAATTTCTTGAAGTAAAATCGCACTCTAAAAAAGTAAAAATACTGCTACTATTAAAAATATTTGCACCTTTAACTCTTATTTAAGAGTGCCGGATTTTCACTCTTTTGGAATGAAATTCCAAAAATTCCAAAAACCTTGAGACTCTAAAAAAAATCATTTTTAGAGTAAATCCAATTCAAAAAAGAATGAAAATCTTTCTTATTCAAGAGTGCAAATATTTTTAAAGTAAGATTTTACTCCAAGAAATTTAGAGAGTAGAGGACGTTCAAACTAAAGCTATTTCATTGTTAGAACGTCAATATTTTCTGTAGCATTTCTCATCATGCTTGAGTTTTCTAATTATTATATAAATATTATATATACCTAATATTATATATATATATATATTTTGATAGTCCAACAAAATTACTTTCAGATTTATATCTTATATTTAAATTTTTAGATATCTTTAATAAAATTGTTCTTTCCTTATAATATTTTCGTAAAAATATCTTAATAAACAAGAAGAGGCAGAATTTAAAAAAAAATCATATAAATAAAACTTATTAAGGTAAATGTTTTAATTTTTCCGATAGCTTCCATAGTTCGAAATTTTTATCATACCATCAAAATTTTATGAATTATTGATCCGAACCTTTTAATCGGTGCACAGGAATTTTAATTATCGGTGATATAAATTTTTCGTTAATATTATTTCGTAAAAAATTTGGAATTTTTTTATTATAGTGCACGTAATTTATATCTTGATCGACATTGCGAATATCGTATAAAGATAACGGCATTGTATCGTCAATAATGTCTCTGATACTCCTGTTGCATCGGGGGATTAACCTACACACAAGCTCTTTATTGATCCTAGAGATGTGTACGACGGGATTACATATTCGATACGTAAATAGCGGAATATGAGAATGGTCAAATACACCGCGCGTCAACGAATCGTTTAACTGTTGTAACTGTATATTCATCGATGTCAAATAAAGTTGACCTATAATCGACCACGGTCGCTAGCTACAATCCTCCGGTCGTAACCGAATGCCCGTAACGAGGTGCAGTCGTGTGCTTTTCAGTAATCGAAGCTACATACAGGAAGACTCTCAATCCTGGGTGAACGGTCTGCGAGCTTTGTCGGACGATTTTGAACGTCCACTCGATCTGCTTTCATTCTGCAGTTCTGCTTGACATTCCCGGCACGATATTGCGTTTTTCGCCGTCGTGTTCGTGGCTCTTTCGCGCTTCTCTCATTCTCCCCCATTCCTCACATTCCTCTCGTAGCCCTTTTTTTTACGCACCCTTACGCCACCATATGTCCCATGGCACCAATAAATAGGAATGCAACAAAAAATGAAAGAGCAAGAGGGGGAAGAAAAGAGGACAGGCAGACAAGGATACAACCCTCCTTGACGAGCGGTTGTTCATTGTTTTTCTGCCTCCACTGACCGGATTGCGCCCGCGGGGCTTTCGCGTTTTTATCATTGCCGCCTCTTTCATTCGGCGATGTTCCAAACGTGCTAGATGAACCGACAAAAACACAGTTATTAATATAGTATAAAGATCCCCTCCGCTGAACTGCATGCGGTGTTCCACGAAGGGGAAACGAGAAGAGAAAACTTCTCGCCTGATTGCACAAAAAGTTAGTAAACGTCACGTCGTGTTAGCTGACTCTGCGGAATTCGACCTTGGTAAAAATCTTTGACACCTCACTTTGGGGTTGAATAGATGTCGTTATATGTTCCGTCTCTGATCAAACTTATACTATATACTATTATATATACAAAACATTTTTACTTGTAATTTAGAATCATTTTCAATAATTGTGAGATCGAAATAAAGACGACACTTTTTGTAAAATAAAATGCCAATAAAGGCCAATAATTTTTATGTAGACAGATAACCATTCGTCACGGACTTTTTATCATATCTGAGATTACTATTCCCTTCCGAGTTGACTGCCGCCCAGAAAATTCGGCGCTATCCGTTTTTCTCGGGATTCCTAATCCGCAGTGATTTTACATCCAAATGGCGTTCCCGTTCGTCGAGGAAGCACTCGACGAATGGATCGTTGCCAGTAACGATTGCGCCTTCGTTATTCTACGGTCAAACGATCGACAGGTTCGATCTAGGACACCGAGAAAAGAGGCCGCGGTAATTCGGCTTCAATAGAGATTTCCGGTTGATTCTGCAAACGTGGAGATATATACACGTACGTGATTGATTGTTCGAGAAACGCGAGGAGAGGCCGAGAATTAGTAGGTGCGTGCGAGAGGAGGAACCGTCACCGTCGACAAGAAGCAAAACGAGGAAGAGAATAACTGGATGGGAACGAGATGGAGAGGCGGAGAAGAAGAGAGTGCTGGGCGAAAAGAGTAGAGGGCGGAACGAGAAGAGGAGGAAGAAGACATAAATTCCGAGCCAGTGTAAAAAGGGCGTTAAGAGGAGAAGCCCCGGCACCCCCGATATGTCAATATCCCGAGGAAATACGGGGCGGTACTTGGCTGGAGGGATAGTAAAAATAAAGCAAGCTTTATTGCCGCCGCCGCTGCTGCTGCTGTTACTATTGCTGCTGTTGCTGCTTTTACTTCTGCCACTATAGATATCTCATCGCGAGCGTCGATGCAATAGTGGAAACGTATTTCGGGAAAACGTTCGTCCCTACATGATTCTTTCCGGCCGCGGATATCAATTTAACCAGCCGTACGCGTTTTGCTATAAGGATTTGAAAGGATTTTACGGTGCGCGGAATAAGACGTAAGTAAGCGAAGAGAGAAAGAGTGAGAAATTCGCAATTGGATTCTTAATCCATCGATTCAGTCTCGATTACAGAGAAGTTTATTTAAACCATGGAGTAAGGGGGACGAGCGCGATATCGTCGAGATAAAAGGAGTCTTGTCAGAGCTGCTAGGCGATTCGAGAGGATAAGATAAGGACTGGCGATACTCGAAGAGCGAAGAAGCAGAGACGCTCCGCAAGGAAGAACCGAAAGTGAACGAGGGAAATCGGAGAAAAGACGAAAACGCGAACGGAGATAGCTTGGAGTAAACAAAGACGTACTCGGACGGCTTTTGTGGGGCTCTCTGAGTTTTCCTCTCTTCAGATCCTCTGGGATCCTACTGTTGCCACAACGTTCACTCACGGATGCTGCGCTTTCCGTTCGATTATTCAGAGGCTGACGGCTATTAAATGGCTATTATTACAGATAACCATTGGATACCCACTCTCATCTCAATATTATTTTATGAGCTTTTTCGTGAGCTATCCCAAGAAAAAAGCAATTATTTTTCCAGCGTTATAATTAGTATATTTTTTACACATGGCTTTATACATCGGTCATTTCTTTCGCATTATATTTTATTAAATTATCAATTATACCAAATTATACATTTCTATCAAAGCAAAATTATATTCTATATTAATATAATATATAAAATAAAAATTTATATTCTTTATACAAATAAACGGATTTAGTGACATGGAAAAATATGAATAATTAAAGCGATACTATCTCCATGCTAAACTTATGTATATTCGCTTCGAGCATGATACCGTGTGCACGTAAATCATGTTATGCATGTGATAAAGTTATCTTGTAACCGATGTGGTTCCGATTAGTAGATTATGTAACCAATAATAAGCGAGGATACCATCCACTCACGGTATGTTTATTAGATATAAATTGGCGTTTCTCATAAACTTGGAATATTACGAAATGATTTATAAACTAGATCAATAGATCGCTGGGCAACGTGAATCATTTATAATTTATATAAGCGATCTAATTATTCGTTATATCAGTATATTTTGTTGATTATTACTATTATTAGTTGCACTCACTGATTCAACAACGTGCAATACTTTTCACCCAACGTTTCCTAAACAAAATATATCTATGAAAAAAGTAATTATAAGATCGCAAATAAAATAAAAATAAAACAAGTATGCGCATAAAAATTAGATGTTTCGTAAAAAAATCATAATTTTGCAAACGGATTTTGCTCGCATAAAAATTCCGGCACAGCCGGAAATTGAGGTCACACCAAAAATGTGAGGTGTCGCGAGCAGCTGCAGTTAGGGTAACCCACAGAAAATCGTGGTTGCAGGTGCAACGGACGACAGCCGAACGAAGAGATCCACTTAGCGCTCACTTTACACAGCGTTAAATTCTAATGAAGTCGACGCTGCTCGATTTCACCGATCCGATCAGCCCACCACGTAGATTGGGGACGCATCCTGCAGCCGCGGACCAACCTCCGCACCGCGCCCTAATAGTCGTCCTTCGTAGTCTACCGTATGTGGTCGGCCGTTGCAGGTATCTAATAATTTTCGTTTAAACGCGCGCGTCGCCGTGTCCGAAGAGCCCCTTTCACACAGCTGCTCACGATAGGACGAAAGCCGACGGTATTACTACGGTAATAGACGGAACAGCGGATGTGGTTCCTCAAAGGTCGTTCATTATCTTTGTCACTTGACAGAAACTGCCGGGCCGAAACTCGATGATAACTGTATAATTCGCGAATCGGGAATCCGACTTTAGTATATACATTTAACTTTGTAAGGTTTATGAAGTTACCATTACATGTTTAATCAGTAAGTTTACAGCTTACGAACAGAGTACAATTCGAATTATATATAGAATGTTCAAGAGAAAACTGTCCTGGCTAAACTTATATTTTATTATCATGTTAATGATTTTAAAGATAATTTGCATGTATAATTTTATGAAAGATCTAACTGTGATATACTGTTAGATATTAAAAA